CTCTCTCTCTAAAAAAGTAGTCATTGTTTGCTAAGCACGAGTTCTACGGGAGATTTAAAAGACGTGCATTTGAAAGCCGACATCCTGCCGAGTCCGAAATATCGTAGAATTACGCCGGAAGATAATCAGTATTACAACCTCACCTAATTAATCCTTTGTAATTGGAAACGCATTTGACAATTTTGGCGAACATTTCACTCGGTCACTCGCTGTAAGTTAACAAACTCTTCAAGAGTCAAGACTTATGCAATGGAAGAAGCGATTATCAAGGGAACAATTCAAATCTTGGTTTCTGTATTTCCGTCTCTTCACACGCAGGATAGCATGCTAGGAATGGCAGAACAGAATGCTGATAAGCCGCTGTACGGCAGGAGATGAGTCGAAAACCACGGCGCGTGAGGCGGGATGACTTCGCTGAGAATAGTCTAGAATGCAGGGGATTGGCAAAGACATCCAGGATTCAACCAGCAAAGTGTATGACCGTTTTGAAATGTCGTTGTATGAAAATATAGACTAAAAAAGGCATGAGAAATATCTGTAGCAGTAGAGGACATTCGAATGACTCGTTTTAAAATAAACATATCTTCTTGAGCAAAGGAGAAAAGACCACAGGAGAACAATAAAAATTAGAGGAATAATGGAGGCACCTACGAATCGCTAGATTAAGGGTTGAGGCGTATGGTAGGAACGTAAATAACGAATAAAATAAAGACGTTTACGAAGTTTAATGAAAAGGGTCTCAATATGGAAGGCAAATGTAAGCTTTTATGATAAAGTATCACCAAGGTACCTAAAGGAGGATACCTCGTTAGAAAGGATGTCAAGGGATTCAGGACTAGGAGAGGGTCGCAGTCGGCAAATGCACTGAACAGATTTTTGACTGTTCGTCAGGAAGTCATTTTCCTGCGACCATATTTTGACATGGTGAAGGCCATCCTTCATAGACTGGAGATGTGTCCGATTTTTGAGAGAATGCCCAACAACCACATTACCAGCCTACTGAACAAGAAGACAGTCGTTAGGGGATCTTAGATCATCAGCATGGAGTAAAAAGAGGTGAGTGGGTGGAAAGGAACCTTAAAGGAATCCGCAGTCATTGGGAGGTGTCGCTGATTTCCGCTCGCCTGATTGGACAAATTAAGTGCGGGAAGTAAAGTAATGGTCGAGCCAAGAGACAACTCAGCCTGGAGATCCGCACGCAGATATTTTGGTAAGGAGAAGAGGACGAGGGACGGTTTTGAGGGCATAGGAACAGTTTGGATTTGAACGTCAGTCAGCGGCCTTTTAAGTGACGGCAATTTGCGCACCGTGATGATCTCAGACTCGAACTACACATGCAGCAGAGTGGCCACAGAGATAAGGGGCCGAAAAGCACACGCGTCGCTTAAATTAGAGATGCGAATGGCGTGACTGAGTTGTGAGCCGATGAGTGATGTTGGTATGCATTGCAAATGCTCGTTAGGGAAGATGTGATTGTGTTCGGGTGAGTCTGCTGTATGTTGGTGTTCTAGGCATTGATTCGCCAGTCTCCGTGCGATGGATTCTCGAGTGACCGACCAGGCCGCTATGTGAGGTGAATGTGCAATCGCAATGAGGACTGGTTGGTACCGTGTCCACTTCGCTGGAGGCGGAGGTGTTTATGGTGGTAGTTGAGGTGGTGCTTGAGGTGGTGGTAGTAGTAGTATTAGTATTAATAGTAGTAGTAGTAGTAGATGACAGGATGCCAGATGTTGTCCCATCGATGGGGAGAGACGAGAGGTCGGGGTAATGGTGGAGCTGGTACCCAGATTTAAATACTGACACAATAATGGATGTTTTCCAATAGTCAGGAATGGAGCCATTCTCAAGAGAGACCGAAAATAGTTTGCTAAGCAGAAGGGGAAGATTTCTTAGCCGTATAATATGAGATTTTAAGGGTGTTGTCGGTTCCTACGAAGTGCCAGTTAGTAAGATGGCTTATTAATTTATGAGCGAAATTAATGGTGGTGAACTAAGCATCAGATGACGGAGGAATTAGAGGGATGGAATCATTTTCAATGGTAAATTGATTGACAAAGAATGAATTTAACAGTTCCGCTTTTTCCGACTTCTCCGTAATGAAGGCGTCGCCGTTAATCGGCGCAGTTGTCCATCTAAACTATAAAAAACTAGTCGACCTGCTTGGTTAACTAGGGACCTAAATAGGCAGTTACGGAAGAAAAGCAGAAGATGGAAAATACTCAGGGAAACTGCGTCATCAGTATTTTTCGAAGAATTTTGTCGTCAACGGAATGCAGTCAAAAACTGTATCCGCCATGCACGGAAGGAGAATGAGTCCAAAATTATCCGACAGGCTGAACAGACGCCCATGATTTTATCTCACTATCTTAACAATAGACTGAAAAACAAGGATCCGGTAGCAGTACTGAAGGATGATAATGGTGTAGAAATCATTGAGAACAGCGGGAAAGCCGAACACTTAGGACGGCAATTTGCTTCGGTTTTTACTAGAGAAACAGAGTTTTGTAGTCGCAGTGCCAGCAGTGCTGTTAAGACCGCTGGTCCCGTGCTTGACTCCACACTCTTCCCGACAGCTGTTGTGGAAAGGGAACTGCAAAATCTCAAAGAAGCAAAGTCCTCTGGTCAGGACAATATACCGGCCATGTTCTTGAAAGAATTGGCGAATTAACTCTCCAAACCACTGGCACACATCTTCCACTCGTCATTCGAATTAGGGAGGCTGCCATCGGAATGGAAGACAGCAAATATCTTTGAGTTATACAGGGGTGGTGCTCAAGGGCAAAGGCCTCATTCCCTTAATAAATTGACTTAAACTGATTTAAGGGAGATTTGCGGACCCAGAACCGTCCCTTAATGAACGCCACTCCTGACCGAATGAGGTGTCGGGTAGCTATTACCAACCATGACTTTCTGATAGCAGTTTGATAGGCAGGACCTGATGAAGTCGAGGAGAGAAGGCCGGATGCCGGATTTTGAGAACTTCAAATGTTAGCAAAGAACGTCTATCTAGCACTATCCCGAAAGCTTTGCTTAGATCAAAGTACATACCTAGAGAACACGCCGTCCGCGATAACGGAGTAATGCTCACAGCAGTAACAAATGCAACGGGAAATTCGGCTGGTGCTAAACTGAGATGCTTGTACACGAATGCCCAAAGCCTCATATCGAAACTAGACGAACTAAAACTTTGCCTTGTTGAGCTGTCTCCAGATGTTTTAGCAGTAACTGAGACCTGGCTGTCCGGGAATATTAGCGATAACGAAGTAGCCTTGCCTGGATAACAAATTTATCGGAAGGACAGGGAACATCGTCAGGGTGGTAGTATCGTTGTATGTGAATGACGGTCTGGCAGTGTCGGATAACACCACCAAGTTTGCGTGCAGTACGGAAGCTATCTGGTTGACCATCAAGGCTACCGGTTACCCGTGTCTCGATGTCCTCACTGTCTACCGACCACCTAGGACAGACCGAATCGCCGACGCTCAACTATTGGAGCAGTTGGAGAAATTTTCCAGTCGACCTAACATCATGATCATGGGCGACTTCAACACACCAGGAACAAACTGGAATACCCTCCAAGCGTCAGGTCCAAAATCGGCATTCGATTACCGCCTGTTGAGCAGGACATTAAATGCGTGCCTCACACAACATGTTATGTTCCCAACGAGAACACGTGAAGGACAAAAGGCAAACTGCCTGGATCTGGTCTTTACGAAAACACCAGACAGCATAGACGAGATCGTCTCCATGCCGCCCTTGGCCGAAGTGACAACGTAGTGCTTATGTGGAATTATTCGTTATTCTCCATTTCACATACTCCAGACCACAAAAGGCGTAATGTTTGGCGGGGCGACTTCAATCAGATGAGGGCAGACTTATCCGGTCTTGACTGGGGCTCTTTGTTTACGGGAAGTGCCAACGATGACTGGGAGCTGTTCAAGAATGTCCTTCTGCAGCTCATCAACAACCACTGCCCACTGACTAGTGTAAGACTGAACAAACGCCCTGGGTGGCTAAATAGCAACTTCAAGAAAGAAATTAACAGGAAGCACAAATTGTGGAGAAAATACTGCTTCACTAGACAAGCTGAATGCTTCAACACCTACAAGACACAGAGGAACAAACTGAGGAAGCTGATAATGCAGACGCGGCGGGAATTCGAGAAGAACTTGCTACAAAAAGCAACGCAGAACCCAAAATCGCTCTACAGCTACCTCCGACGAACTACAAGGAACAGGCATCAAATCCCCTTGATAAAGACTACTGATGGCGTTGAGATCGCTGATAGTAGAGATAAGGCTGCGTATTTTTCACGGTTTTTCCAATCAGTCTACACAAACGAGGCAAGGCTCCTTCCTCCCTCCACAGAAGAACTGCCGAATCCAAGCATCAGTGATATACTCTTCTCAGAAGGCATTGTCCGAAGAGAATTTGAGGTATTGAACGAATCGAAGTCACCAGGACCAGACGAGATTCCACCCAAGCTTCTGAAGGAACTTGCCAGTGAACTCTCTGTGCCTTTGTCGATGCTCTTTCAAACGTCATTTGACACTGGAACACTTCCTGTCGATTGGAAGCTGGCGCATATTACTCCGCTACACAAAGGAGGTAACAGGGCAGCGACGACAAATTACCGGCCCATAAGCTTGACATGCATTGTCTGCAAAGTTATGGAAAGGATCATAAAGACTGAACTAATGCAATTCCTGGAAGATCACGGCCTGCTATCGAAATGCCAACATGGGTTCCGAAAAGGAAGATCCTGCACGACAAACCTGCTGCAATCTCTCCAGAGCTGGACCCGAGCTCTCGACGACAGGCACGCGGTCCACATAGCCTTCATCGACTTCCAGAAGGCTTTCGACACTGTGCCACACCAAAGACTCTTACATAAGCTGAAAAAAATAGGGATCGATGGCAACTTCCTTAAATGGATCGAAAACTTCCTTGTGGGTCGACAGCAGGTTGTGTGCGTCTGTCGGGGAAAATCAGATCCGGCTATGGTCGATAGTGGTGTCCCCCAGGGTTCAGTACTGGGACCCATTTTGTTCCTTATCTACGTGGACGATGCCGCAAGAGATTTAGACTGTGAATTAGCAATGTTTGCGAATGACATGAAGATATGGAGTGTAATTCGGGGTCCTGCGGATGAAGACAGACTGCAGATGAACCTGAATCGGTTGGAGGAGTGGTCAAACCGTTGGCTCCTGCGGTTCAACGTTGCCAAATGTAGCATACTTCGCCTAGGTAACACAGCCAGATCCGCCAGCACAAGAGGCTACTTTCTGAGCGGTGCAGCCCTACAAGAGGTCGAAGCCCAAAAGGACCTCGGTGTGCTTACGACGAGTTCCCTAAAACCATCCGCCCACTGTTCGAGGGTGGCAAAAAGCGCAATGACCGTACTGTACGCCATCAAGCGTGCGTTTATGGACTTTGACGAAGAAGCTTTCTCTAAGACATTCGGAACATTCGTCCGGCCGCATTTAGAGTACGGCATACAAGCTTGGATGCCGTGGGCTGTTGTGGATCAAAACTGCCTCGAAAGAGTCCAGAGGAGAGCCACGAAGATGGTCAGGGGTCAAAGCTCCTTTCCTTATGCGATCCGCCTAGTAAATCTGAACCTCTTTCCTTTGAGTTACAGGCAACTTCGCGGAGATCTCTTGCAAGCCTTCCGCATTGTAAAGGGGTTGGATTGCAGTCTGGCCTTCGAGGACTTTTTTGAATTTGCTACCACGACCAACCTCCGAGGTCACCCGTTAAAACTGCGCACTCAGCAGGCACGGCTGGATGTGCGGAAGTTCTCCTTCTCGGTTCGGGTGGTGAAACCGTGGAATGAGCTTCCCGCAGATGTTGTGATGTCACCATCTATACAAAGTTTTAAGAAGAATCTGGACATATTTATGTTCCGAAATGACCAAGAGCGATGAGAAGTCGAGCTCACCCCATGTAACTCCTTCTCATTTTGTCCCACCATTATGGGCATGTTCGAACTATTTCAGCCCAGAACATCTCCCTGTACACCACACATTTTTTACGTTGCAAATAGGGTACTCAAAGGCTTACGCCTATTTCCCTCAATAAACTGAACTGAACTAAACCTACTACTGACTGCCGCCCATTACGAGGGGTGATTAGATTAAGAAATGTGAAGTAGCAAGTTCATCAGGATCTTTCAGGTAAAATCCATGCAGACTGGAATAAAAGATCTGTTTTGCTAGACAGAAGTCGAAAATTTACTTGAGAAGTGTCCTTCCAAGTAGTTTTTGTAAACACGGGGTTCTGTGCACAACCCGATAAATATTAACCTCTGATTGAGATCCAACCTTGAAGACAGGAATGATAAATGACGTCTTCCATGCTCTGGGGGGGGGGGGTAGGGGGGAAACTTCGCTTGAAATATAAACCGAGAATAAATGACCAAGCTATACGGGGAGATCGAGTGTCGGTTTGATAAACGAATTTGGAATCCCGCCTGCTCCTTAGCTATACGAGATTTTCAAACGATTTATGATTTTCTTAATTGGGTCTGAGGAGACATTGTTTGTACTCATCGACGATGACCGAAATGATGAGAGTTCAACTGAGAAGACGAGAGTTTATGCGAGAAAAGATGCCCAATTCTACTTCCCATGAATGTATTATCATGACAAAAGAAAAATGTTGCGGTTTCCTGATATACAGAAACACGATTTCGGTAATCAAATATTGAAACGACCTCGATTAGTGAAAACAGCAAAATCAAAATAGGCAGGCTTTGCTATGGGATGACAGGCGCTTTGCATGCACTATTTTATAGTTAAATCCACATGAGTGCAGGAAAAGTAACCGCAGCATGCACTGGCCAAGCCTACCAATGACCTATTCCAACAAGAAGTTGTTAGTTCTTTTTTGCCTATCACATTATTCAATGGTTAGCAGGTGAACGAGTGCGTCAAGACGTTTTCTTTCTTGAGAAAGAACTTCGGGCATAACAGACATTTTAAGCAAGTAGTCGACGTAAATTTACCTGGAATATACCACTTACTCCAACAGGACAGCTCTGTTATACTGTATAGATGCCTTTAGATGCGTATGGCTGATGCCGATATTTATTATTTCGTACTTTACATTACCATTCACAACTGGGTGTGACCGGGTTGCAATCTGCACTTTCACAAATGGCTGTAGAGCAATTTTGGATTTTTAACTGATCGGTGGAGAAAATGACTCTCGGAACCTCGTTGTCTTTTGAAAATCGAGTACTTCACTTAGTTTCTTGGAGTTTTGTACTCTGTAAACGCTGCATAGTCGTTGTTTTCGCGGACCTTCTTCCACACCCTTCCTTTCTTGTTAATCTCCTTTGTGGGATCTTGTGTGAGCCACTGAGGTTGATTGGATGTCCTAAGATTTGATAAGGGACAGCGGCTCTCCATTAGATGAAGAAACGGACACTTCAATAAATGCTAGTCCTCGTTGACATCCTCATCTATTTATAAGACCCCCACTCTCATTTATCAAAAGTCCCCTTGCCAGATGTTTGGTCTCGTCTCATTTTTTTGTATACGGTGCATAATCAATTCGGCCGAGCTGAGGTAGGTATTACACTGTACTATACAGTCAGGATGCCTGGTGAAGAGGAGATCCAAACAAGTAGTCTGTTGTCCTCCGCGAGCTCTAGTTGGAAATAGAACATGTTGCTTGCGAAGAGCTCCTAATGTTGCCGTTAGAAGACGGTGATCGAAGGTATACCTCGAGCACTTAGCATGCATATCGCTCCATTGAAAGAAGGATGCATTAATGTCCCCCGTGAATACAACGTACGGTCGACTGCCGATCTCATTTGAGCATTCCAGTAGACAATTATCTGGATCAGGATCTGCCTAGGGGGTCGGTGGATGTTTGCGGTTTCGAGGTGCTGCGACCCCTATGTCTTTATTGTCAGGCAAATGGCCTCTGTGTCGTCAGCAATCTTGTCGGCCCTCTCACACACTGCTAATTTGCTCTTTGGATGCATGGGCTCTCCTCCACTCATGCGGTCTTTGCCGTTTCTCCTTAACAGTTAATATTATGATAGTGCTACATCGCAAACACCGAAGTTCTGTGACGGCCACGTTGCTGTGATAGCTACATCAGGAGATGTACTGGCTACTTGTATTCTAAGTTTGTCGAGATCTGAGCATTACTGCTGGAGGATTTAACTTTGCAACGTTCGACAGTGCTTAGTTCGGTCTGTCCCAGTTTTGCCGGTATTATTTTGCTTCCACATAATAACCAGTGGCTGGTTGCAGAACAATGCCGCGTTTCTCTGTATTCCTCTTCACCCGAAAATAACCAAGCAGCTCTCTCCAGCTGCAAGTCTCCTAATCGGCTCCATCATTGATTCGCGGCGTTTCAGACGTGCGATCGAAAAGTAGTCCAATTGAAAAAACACCCTTGGGAGATTTTTGGAGGTCGATTTGCCTGGACAGAAGTAAGCCAGCCTCTCTTTTACTGCCCAAAACACTTTTACGAGATCGTGGTCGCACAGTTTACGATTGTTCGCCAACCTTCTTTCGATTCTGAAGGCTGCGCGAGTAACTGCCCTTTAATTCGAATTAAGCATTTTGTTCAGCAGGTGCTACAACACATCAAGGACAGCGGAGATCCTCTGCATCGTGTTAGGGGCATTCGAATCCGATAGGCCCTGGACGACTACGCAATACTGACGATGAAGGGGTTCACTTGTACTACTTCTGGCCTGGCCGCATTGTCATCTGAAATTCTCAGGAAATACATTGGAATCGGTTAAGACTTCCTTATTCGGTTGTGGCGTTTTCCAACTCCATCTTGTTACGAGTTTGTCCCCTCACTTTCAAACAATGGGTCTCTTGAACAAACGTGATGACTGAAAGAAGTTGATGCTTTGCTTCGGTTATCTTCAATAGAAACAAGACACTCTGTTGTTGTCATCCCACCATTATGGCTATCCGCGGGCTTGCACTTGGAAACTTTTCAAACTTTTTTGGAAGTTTTGGAGCTTTGACTTTTGTCTTTGTCTTGTTAACTCTAGCGCTGTTAACCACATTTTGCCAACCATCGTCCTCATGCATAAGCTTCCATACGGCAGTGAACTCGCGCTCGAAATTTGGACATTCGGCGGGATAAAGGAGCATTCGGTGGACGACTCATCTTCGTATCCAGCAGCTTTAGCGGTGATTACACTTCCGGCGCGCCTTACCGGCCCTGTGCTGAAACAACCAAGAGAGCGAGCGCTAATCCTGGATAACAAGGCCCACACCTAACCATACAAACCCTTTTGGATCTATCGCTCAGGTCTTTAGTCTATAAAATATACAAATATTTTGATTAGTATATAAGAGATAAAATTCTAGCAGACTTCGTTGAAGACGTACAGTTTTACTGTGCATAAAAAGTTGAGGGCATTTCGCATAAGTATTCACCGAGTCGCCGATCCGCTGTCGCCAAGCGGTATGTGTAAGAGGGGCGTTTTTTGCTGTCACATATGTTAACTAAACCAGAATAAATATTGGTAGTCCCTGAAATGTTGTGATACGATTGTGTCCCAGGATCTTAAAATCGTCGCGGATTTTGTTTTTGTATTTTGAAGTCGTTTATCACAATTTATTTTTGCGGTAGCGGCCGCCTGGAATGAAATGCGAATCCGACCTTTTTTAAGTGTTCCTTTCGCATAATTCTTTAATCGATGTTTCTCTCTCGTTTGAAGTTTTTGGATTTCAGACCCGATTTTTTATGTTTCGCCCATGCTTTCTCGTCAATTAATCGATTTACGAGTCTTGATATCTGTTTGCTACCCCAAAAGGTCTGTGATCTTTTTGTTCATATGTTATTTTGTCCTATAGTTGTTTTGCCTTTGTTCGAACTCAGTTTTTTGTCCACTGGTCACTGCTTATGACGTAATGTCACCGTTCCTGCTTTCGAAGATCATCGGACGCTGAATGTTTGCCACTTGAAAAGTTTGACCATCCATCTTGCATGCTCTCTATTTCACTGTTAGGCGAAAATTCAGATATCCGTTGGGGTTATGCACTTTTATGTGTATTTTTGTCACAATAAGTCTTATCCTCGTGATTATGTCAGCCGTCCATTATGTTGGTTACTTTGAGCACTGGTGACCTCCTAGTACTTTGTATGCAATTGTAACATTAATAGGAAAGCAACGCACCCCAGATATATTTAAGCGCAACTGATCGGACGTACGTGAAATCTGAGAATTTAGACCTCCTCACCTTGTGCTCGTTCTTGGTACAGCCGACCCTGATGAATTCCGCGCGATGTCCGTCCACTCGTTATGCCTTGTGAGAATGACGGCTTAGGTGGACATCTTGTACGCACGGATCTTTACTGTTCGTCGAAATGCCGCAACAGCTTCACAGTCATTTTCGATGTCGTCTAAAACCCCTCAAGCAATGTTAGTTTGTTTACCAATGTCATCCGTATCTTTATCGATTCGAATCGGCCTGTTCAGATACGTTTTGACTTCATTTTTTTGGATTTGCTGGATGCCCACTTTCTAATCAACAGTACTTCCTGATGACAGACGAGGCTCGATAATGCCTTGGAACTACAGTATTTTGATATTCTCCTTTGCGCGAGCCACTGCCTTATCTTGAGTTGATCAACAGGCATAGGCGTACAAGTTAGATACTGCAACAACTACATTGGACGTCCTCAACAATTTACTTAGTGTTGTACTTGGGTAAAACATCGACCGCCTGCACTCTTTTTGATTGTCCCTGTACTTACTTGCACTCACTATGGCTGTGATTATGTCTGACCTATCTGGTCTGTTTGATGTGACGAATTATGCCCAACCACGCGTAACGATCTTCTGAAACAGACATGAAAAGCTCGAACATCACTGTTTTTAAACGACAGAGACCGGATAGCGCAGGTTTTATTGGGCTATATGAGTCCAGTTTTGATCTGG